TGTCTTCTCTGAGCCTACAGAGAGAAAAGAAACTGCTGCTCCCTTGGCATCATCTTTACTTCTCTTTGATAATAGTTTTTACCTCATTCATGATTTCATCCCTCAAATGGACACAGAATTAACCTAACAATGAGGTTAGGTTAACTAACCATTTCACTGTTAGGTTAACTTTCTCACTCTGGGACTTTCTTTTCAGATGAACTCTATCCCCTCTGCTCTCAGTTAATAATTTTATCTCATGCTCATTTTAAAATGAGCAGCAATTGACCCCAAATTCCCATTTCCCCCGTAAAAAAACAACTACTTTTATATGTCCATCTTTTCCTTTTCCCACTTGTTAAAGTGGAGAAGCATGCTTTCTTCCCATTGCAGTTTCTCTACTGGGGCTCTGAATTCCATTCTTCCTTCACCTTCTTAGAGAACATCATTCATACAATCATCCTATCTTTGAATCATCTATTGTCTTCCTACTGAATATACATATTTTCATTTATCTCACTTTGATCTCTTCCACCATTGTCCTATGTTTATCCTCTATGGGATGTCTTGGATTTCAATGCTTAACTGACTCTGCCTGCCTCTTCTACCAGATAATCTAATTGCTGACATTCCTCAACACCAGTTCTAGGTCTGCTGCTCTTTTCTGCATATGTGCTCTCTCTACTGAAATGAATATCTTCACCTAGACCTCTCTTGAGCTTCAGTCTTTTATCTCTACCTGCCTACCTGACATATCCACTGGGATGTGTAAATATAATTAATTGGGAGGCCATTAGATGGGACAGCTCCAGCATCTTGGATTCCTACTTAAGCAAACTAAAACCCAATTGAGTGTAAGCAATAAAATAAAACTTAAGTTTAACCAATCAGAAACCACCAACCAGGGACTTTCTACTGGATCATACCCAAATAAGGTAAACACCTAGCTACAGCCAATCAAGCAATTACTTTACTTTTACATCCAGCCAATTCAGCTCACTGCCCATGCTCCTGGTGGGAGCTCTCTGAACTTCTTCTGTTTCTGAGTGCTGCCTAATTCATGAATCATTCTTTGCTTAGACTCTTCTAAATTTGTCTTAAGTTTTTGTTTTAGCAGATGTTAATAAGCTTCTTACTTGTATGTGCCAGATATTTTGTAGTAATTCCTCCAGATTCAGTCTTAACCTCTCACTACCTTGCTCCCTGCTATTGGGGGTCGATTTATATGAATTACGTCAATGGGCTTCCCTTGCTTTCTGACCTCTGGATAGGTTTGATCAATGGAGAACCCAATATCAGGTCAGAGGAAGAAGATGAGATAAGATTATTTATTTCCATGAATCCTCCTTGCAAGGTCACCTCAGGCTGGTGTGTCCTTGACTGAAGGTCAGTGTTTCTTCAAACTATACCCCTCTATATTTCCCCGTCATTTCAGGTTTCTCTCTTGTTGAAACTGCAAGGGGGTTTTGGTCTAGGTCCAGTTGCTCGTCACACAAAGATCCAATTATTGAGACAACAAGGATTGCCAAAGAAGAAAGGAATTTTTAATACGACAGACAGGAGAAGTTGCCTCAAATCCATCTCTCCAACTAATGGACATCATGGGCTTTTTAAGGAGTGGCCCCATACCTTGGGGCAGGTCGAGGGGCATCATGAGTCCGGGTATCAGGAAGTCTGCCCAGGGGCCTTCAGAATCTCAATTCCTTTCTCTTGCAGAAAATCCATCATTTCTGGAAAACAACTCAAAAGTTCAAGAAGTTAGTTAAGGGAGAGGAGTATAAAAAACATATGGGCCCTTGAAATTTGTTCATTGAGCCTATTACACTCAATCACCTGGGATTATTGCCTTTTCTCATGTGAATACCTAAACTCTGCCCACACCTTTATAAATAGTCCCTTTACTAAACCTCTCTGGAATTATCCTATTTTAAGTATGTCATTGATTTTCTCTTGATTCAATGCCTGTGGTAGGCTGAACAATGGTCCCCAAAGATATCCAGGTCCTAATGTGTGGAACCTGTGACTGTCACCCTACATGGAAAAAGGACTTTGCAGATATGATTAAATTGATGTGGAAATAGGAAGATTATCCTTAATTATTTTGTGGGCCAAATGTCATCACAAGGGTCCTTCTAAGAGGGAGGCAGAGGATTTTAAGAGGAAATGGCAAGGTGATAAAAGCAAAAAAGGGCTTGAAGATACTATGCTTCTGGCTTTAAAGATGGAAGAAGGCACTGTGAGTCAAGAAATGCAGGGAATGTAACTCTGGAAGCTGGAAAAGACAAGAATGAAGCAAGGCCCTGCTGAAAGCTTGACCTTGGCACATGGAAACCATTTTGGATTTCTGGCCTCCAGAACTGCAAGAGAATACATTTTTGTTATTTTTTTTTAATTTTAAATTTTTTTTTCTGCCCTCGGCCTCTAGCTGTCGAGCTGGAAGTCGAGAGGTCAAAATTTCTGTTATTTTAAGCCACTAAATATGTGATCATTTCTTACAGCAGCCATAGGAATCTAATACAGTGCCCCAAATAGAACTTTTGATTTCCCCTATAAATCAACTCCTTCCTATCTTGTCCACTTGGTTGTTTAAACTAGAGGCTTGATTCCTCCATTTTCTGTACATTAAATACTATACATTTTCTTTACTTTAAATAGATCACCAAATCCTTTCAACTATATGCTCAAAAATTTATCTTGACTATATCTACTTCTCTTCCAGTTTCTGGTACATGGTAGAAACACAGTAACTATTTAAAGAATGGATGCATAAATGAATCTTCATGTAACAGAAAGAATGGCCTGAAAAAGGGTAAAAATGTTTTCTGTCTCTTCAAAATCCCCTCACCCTTGTTGAGAACTAAAACCTACATCCCTCCCTCAGGCCAGCAGTTGGGAGGAGCAGCAAAGTGTCCTTTGTTCTTTGTGCCACAGGAGATGGCTCCAGGGAATTGCCCAGGCAGAAGTCATGAGATTGTCTTAGCCAAATATGGGACTAAGGGATTAATCAGAACCTTTCAAAGCTCTGTGCTTCTGCTTAGAGCCAGGACATTGGTACTTTGAGATGGGAGTGTGCCAAACTCTTCATTTCCCAGAAAATTAATAAACTCCTCTTTCCTTCTCCTCAAACCACTTGTCCAGCCCTGGGGACAAGTGCTGAACTTTTGGTAACCATTCATTGCTACCATTCCAGTCTAAGCTGTTGTAATTAGTCCCTTAATCAATTAGCTTGTTTTGGTTCTTTTACCATAGGCCCCCTACAATCTATTCTTCATATTGCAAGGAAATTGATCTTTCAAAAACTATAAAGCAGATTACTATCTAGCTTAAGATTCTTCACTTTTCAATTCATTTTGAATAAAATCCAAATGCTTCGTTGTATACTACAGGGTCATCTATGTTCTGGAACTTGCCTATCTCTTTGATTTCTACTTTTGTCTCTGAAGGAAATTGAAAATATTTTACCCCAAAATATGGCTTTTTGACATGCTGGATTAACTGAAGAAGCCTCAAGGTCTCTCTGACCTTACCCCTCCCAGCACTCCACAAAAATTTAAACTTTCTTTATCTTCCTAAGGTCCAGACCCACCTAAGAGAACAATTGTTCTTTCCTTCCCCTTTTGGTAAGACCAAGGAGGTGACCACACCACAACAGACTCTTTAAGAAGATAATGTCCCCTCTCTCAGACTCATTCAAATTCTAAAAAGAACTATTGACCAGTTAATCTTTGTTTCCCATCCATTCATCCTCCCCCTCTAAACAGAATTCTCTCCCCACCCCTATAATCCATTTTACCAGAAAGGTACATAAACTTCTAAATCCTGCGGGGGGAGTTGAATCTTCATTCCGAGGGTTCCTGTGTATACATGGTAAATACATTTGTATCTCCTTCCTCCTATTAATCAATCTGCCTCATGATTCTTCAGTAAACCTTTATGGGGCCAGAGGCCTACACCTCTTTCCTGCATCCTAAGGATGCTGCAGCTGTTTATCCTGCTTTAGTGTTATGATGCAAGACATTTCCTTTGCCAAGAAGGGTCTTTGCTTAGCTGGCTCTACAAGGTTTCAACTTAAAAATCATGGCCTCTGGCTCACACCTGTAATCCTAGCACTCTGGGAGGCTAAGGCAGGAGGACTGCCTGAGGCCAGGAGTTTGAGACCAGCCTGAGCAAGACTTAGATCCCATCTCTACCAAAAATAGAAAAACTAGCCACCATGTTTGTCTGTAGCCCCAGCTACTCAGGAGGCTGAGGCAGGAGGATCGCTTGAGCCCAGAAGTCTGAGGTTGCAGTGAGCTATGATGACGCCACTGCACTCTAGCTGGGGTGTGAGAGTGAGACTCTGTCTTAAAGAAACAAAAACAAAAAAACCCATGCCCTCTAAGACGCCTTCCTTCACCACCCAACCCACCTGGTTCCTATCTATAACAGCTCCTTGTCTGTTCCCCTTGCCACAGAAATCACAACTCTTGTCAGTGAATTCCACGACAGAAAGAACCTTGCATGTTGGGTTGGCTCAAATTAATTGTTAAATGAATGAGTATTATATTTGGCTATCTGTGACCCTTATTATTTTAACAGTTTGTGAGTAACTTGAGGGCAGAGCCCTGAATCTATCATTCATGTTTGTCAGCCTCCAAGGGGGGGTCAGCAGTAGTCCAGTGCGTGGTTTAGCATTTCCAAATCTGCTTTTTTGAGGGGGAAACAAAAATCCGGCACAAGAATAAAGGTGGGAACAGGAAAGCCAGAGAGGGTGTAGCTAAACAGAGTGGATTTGAGGAAAAGCGAGGCTGGAAAGAAATATGAGAGCAGAAAGCCACTCTAAGCTAGAAACTACAAGGCCGCACCGCCTCACGTGACATCAGAGTAGTAGCCAAGAAGCTGAAGATGACGTCTCTCGCGAGAGGAAAGATTGACCGTACGCAAGCGTACGTCAGCTGGTCCCCTTCCTTCCCTGAGCCCCACTCACTCCCTGTCCTCCCTCCCACCTTGAACTAGCCGCCTGCGCGCGTGACGTCATGGCGTCGTGCGTGGCCGCGGCGGCCGCGGCGCAGGGGGCGGGCCCGCGGCGCGGCGCCGGAGGAGGAAGTGGCTTGGTTGTTGCTTTCAGAGCGCTCGCCGCTGGCTCTCCGGGAGCGGAGAGGGGCCGCCGTCTCCGCGACTGTGTCGCGCTTCCCCACTGCTCCCCTCCATGTGCTCCGGGGCCGCTGCTCCCCTTCCTCAGGCCGCCGCTTATCCCGGGGTCTATGGAAGTAATGGAAGGACCTCTCAACCTGGTGAGTGGCCCACAGAGGATAGCGTCTCTCCTGGGTACCTTTGCCTCAGGAGTCTGGTCCCGTCCCTGGCGTGTCGCCTGACCCTTGAGGCCGGGAGGCGGGCTTGGTAGGGGTTTTCGCAGCGGCTGGGGGCGCAGGCAGGCCCTGGCCCCACAGCGGCTCCGGGCACGCCGCCCCACACTTTCTCCGTCTCGGGGATCCCCGGGAAGCTCCTGCCACCTCCGGGCGCGCCCTGCCGCAGGGCCCCAGGCGAGGGGATGCCACCCGCTGGGACTGCCACCTCTCCGGCCGGGGAAATGCCTCCTAGCGCCACGTAGCCACCTCCCTGCAGCCTGGAGAGACCGAAGCCGGCCAGGGCAGAATTGGTGTGTAATACTGGTTTTAACTTATAACGTGGAGGTTCTAAGTCTCTCACTTTGGACAGATGGAGTAATATGCCACCTCAGCCCTATTTTTGTCTTAACTGATTTCTCACACACATACTGATGCATGAACTGAGAGTCTCTCTTCTCCCCGAATAAGTTAGAAATAGCTGGTAAAAAGAGCTAGCTGTGCCTCTTTAGCTCAGTTTCATCAACTTAGGCATCATGAAAGTGCAATAGATATTTGCTTTTTCAGAAAAAGTGCTGGTAGCCTATTTCCTTTTTATGTTTTTAGGTAGTTCAGGTTTGCAATTAAAAAAACAAAAAGCCAAAGGGTGGGGGGGGGGGAACCTTCATGTTACCAAGAAGTAACATGAGTTCTTTCCAGACTGGCCACTACATCTTCTAGTTTCCCGGAGAGGGTACCCATTTTGGATACAAAAGTCAAATTACTTAAGGTTACATACAGGAAGAACTTTTAAGTCAGATTTGCAATTCTTTGCCATAGTGGAATTGGAAAAAGGACTACAGAGGATTAGGTTCTTACTTTGGAACTCCGAAGCTGAAGACCTGGAAGAGCCTTGGACTGGTTCAAACCACTCTATAGAAAAGCAGTAGAGCCTGGTGGTTTAAGAGTATAGATTCTGGAGCCAGACTGCTTGAATTTGAATTCTGGCATTGTTGCTTAATAGCTGTGTAACCTTGGGGGAACTACTTGACCTCCCTCTGTTTCATGTTTCAGGTTTGTTTTGAGAATTAAAGGAGTAAGTAAGTAAGTGAGTGTAAAGCACTTAGAACTGTACCCAGTACATAGTACAGTGTAGGCATTAGCTATTATAACCAGACCATAAGCCCTTCTTTAAAATCTGTAGAATAAAAGTTTGGACTTGTTGAGCTTTAAAAACCTGAGATTCTAGGAACCTAAAGCTGTAGTTCCAAATCACTGGTACTAGGTTAGCTACTTTGAGGAGCCCCCCCCACTGCAGTTTTATTAAGTTGGGTCTTGTCTCCGTTGGTAAGAGTTGTTTACACTTAAGAAGAATTAGACTACATTTGTGAGTTTTAAAAACCAAGGAAATATCTTGCACCTTTCTCGTTTTTAAGAAACAATAAAATATAATGGTGGCTCAATACTGAAACTTAATAGGAATATTATTAAAAATAACCAGCCTCATACAGAGTGCTTCACAGTTCAAGCGTCCTTGCAAAATGACCATTGGTTCAGTTCCAGTTAGCTTCACTTTATTTGGCTTCAGGTTGCAGCATAACCCCAGCCAACTGCCCCACAGGTGTGGGGACTTATGAGAAGACTGGAACTAGGCGACAGTTGTAGATGGAGCAGTAGAATCACCAATTTAGGAAAAATTAGTTAAATGGTGAAAATAGTATTTAAATTCTCCTTTTATAGAAGAATTTTGTAAAAGTTCTCTTAAGCAGGCTAACATAATTCTATAATCCAGCCATAAAACTTATATGGGCAAGTATCAGAAATTTGGCATCTTGATTACTTAAACCATTTGAGATTTAAAAGATCTGATTTCCAGCCTAGTTGATTATTGACAGATAACAATGGAACAGAGATTGACATTTACATGAATTATTTAACTGTGTTGCTAAGTACCAATGACAGGCCTCTGTCACTCAGAGTTTTAGAAGACTGGGGTTCTTTGAAAGCTGTCATTCTTTTATGTCAGAGGACACTTAACTTAGTATCTAGTTGACTCCACATGAGAAATAGTTCTCAGTGCTATGATTTAATGAGTGTCTTTGAAAATCCCACAAGCTTGTATATACAAGCTTTTCCTAATGATCTTGTCCAAATTTATTGTATGAGGACTTATTACAGTACATGGATTTATAATCATGTGTCCTCTGAGTATCCTTGGAATTTTGTAAGAAGTTTCTAGTTTTACAGATGAATAAGCCTAGACTGAGAGAAATTAAGTAATTACTTAGGTCAGTGACTCAAATACATTATGGATCACAACTTATTTTGATATCATGACCTCTTTCTACTAATGCTTCCATATTAATGTACTCCTTATTTTCATCTCAGTATGGTCCTGTCTATATTGAACCATAGATTGTGTGTTGGCATTTAGTGCCTCTGCCCTAGTATTGATCCTTTTATGTTGGATTTGCAGTAGGTGCCTGTAGGCTTATTTCCTCACAGTGAATTTTTCAGATGTGGAAGAGGCTAGTTTGAAATATTTATTTTAATACGTAGTACAGATAATGTGTTCTAGTTCTCTGGTTTTTGAAAAGAAAAATAAATTCTTCATTGAAGAAAAAAATTGCTAGTCTTTTGTACTCTAAATAAGTTTGTTTCATCAGGTTTTTTGGGTCAATTTTTAATATGGGAAAATGGTGACTTATAAAATTACTTAGCATATATTTAGGCATTTCTTTGCATCCATTTAATTTTGGCAGTATGAGTGCTGGTAACAAACTTCAAATCTAGTTCTTTGGTTTGTTTGCTTCTGATTTGGAAAGTGATGTCAGATCTTAATTTGTACATGACTGTTGCTCATGCTTTGCTTACCTCTGCCGCAGAGGGCAGGGTCCATGTGACTGCATGGCCACATTGTTTTCTGTGTGTTTGCCCCTTGAGAGTGCTGAGAGTAACAACTTCCCTCTGGAGTGGTCAGTTCTCACATCATGTGATGTGGTTAATGAAGCCTCTTGTTTTCAAACTTCTCATCTAAGAAAAGGAATCAGGCCTGGCGCGGTGGCTCACACCTGTAATCCTAGCACTCTGGGAGGCCGAGGCGGGAGGATCTTTTGAGCTGAGGAGTTTGAGACCAGCCTGGGCAAGAGCAAGACCCTGTCTCTACTAAAAATAGAAGGAAATTGGCTGGACAACTAAAAATATGTAGAAAAAATTAGCCAGGCATGGTGGCGCATGCCTGTAGTCCCAGCTACTTGGGAGGCTGAGGCAGAAGGATTGCTTGAGCTCAGGAGTTTGAGGTTGCTGTGTGCTAGATTAATGCCACGGCACTCTCGTCCGGGCAACAGAACGAGACTCTGTCTCAAAGAAAAAAAAAAAGAAAAGGAGTCAGATATCATGGTCCAAGGAATGGTCTTGTACATACGTGGAGTCAACTATATATGTTAACTATGTTGGCACTAAAATCTTTAAGGTAAAAAGAGGCTATTTGAACCCCTTGCTGCCCTGAAAAATTCCAGGGAAAATTCATCCTATGTCACAAGCTAGGCTGGATCTAATGGAGACACTCTGGGAAAAGGCAGTAGAGCACTGAAATATATCCAGCAATTATTAAGTGGTGAGGTTGGCATCAGACACTTTACATACATTATTTATGTTGTCCTCTTAGTAGCTATATGAGCTAGTCCCCCAATTTTACAGATGAAAAATTTGAAATGCAGCGTAAATGGTGATAATGGGATTTGAAAACAGGATTTCTAAATAAAATATTGATCTTTCCAATGCTTGCCCATCTGTTTTGACTGTGATCCACAATGAGAAATTTTTACAGCATGGCACATGTATATATTACTACAGGGCTGCTATATTCTAGAAGATGCTTCCTGGAATTGTGCAGAAATGCGGGGCCCTAGGCCAGGCACGGTGGCTCACTCCTGTAATCCTAGCACTCTGGGAGGCCGAGGCGGGTGGATCGCTCAAGGTCAGGAGTTCGAGACCAGCCTGAACAAGAGCGAGACCCCGTCTCTACTAAAAATAGAAAGAAATTATCTGGACAACTAAAAATATATACAGAAAAAATTAGCCGGGCATGGTGGCACATGCCTGTAGTCCCAGCTACTCGGGAGGCTGAGGCAGTAGGATCACTTGAGCCCAGGAGTTTGAGGTTGCTGTGAGCTAGGCTGACGCCACGGCACTCTAGCCCGGGCAACACAGTGAGACTCTGTCTCAAAAAAAAAAAAAAAAGAAAAAAAAGAAATGCGGGGCCCTCATAAACTTCACCAAAAACAAAAAACCTTTCTGCTATATATGATGCAATGTAATATTTACTATAATATTAGTAAATAGTAATATTACTATAATTTAATTTTTAAAAATACAAGTTGCGACCCACTAAATTGATTTCACAACCCACTAGTGGGTTGTATCCTATAATTTGAAAGATACTGCACAAGATTCTCACTGTCTTCACAACAGATGGTGGCAGTTCTGGAAAAAAGCAAGCTAAACTGGAAATTGAAGGAAGAAAAAAGATGTAGGGGGAGCTGCATGTGGGAGAAGTTGATCCTTAGATTTAAAATTAAAAAGAGGTCTTCCTGAAATTCTCTAACACTTGAGCAGTTATCTTACGTATAATTGGATTGCATTAGTTAGGCAGTCAATTCAGTGCTTATTGTTTGGAGATACTGCTGGCTACTTGTCTGTAGGAGACTAATAGTGAAATGATTCGGAGAGGAGGAGTGAATGAGATTTCTCCTTTGCTCCTAACTGAAGACCCTACTATAGGTCAGGCATATGTTAGATTTTTCTCTGCTGCCATTTTGGTATTGTGTTCATATGGTATTCCTTTTCTTTTCATCTTTACATATAGCTTTCCCCAGGGACACAGAAATAAATAAAGTGAAAGTTATAAAAGGTAATACTGTTTAACTTTGGGAAAGAAGACAATATTGAACCTGTATTTTAATTTTTTAACTTTTCTAAATTTTTATTTTTTTGAGACAGGGTCTTACTCTGTCGACCTGGGTAAGCTACAGAGGGCTTCATCATAGCTCACTGCAGCCTCAAACTCCTGGGCTCAAGCCATCCTTCTGCCTCAACTTCCCAAGTAGCTGGGACTATAGGTGTGCCCCACCACACCCAGCTAATTCTTTCTGTTTTTGGTAGAGACAGAGTCTCACTCTTGCTCAGGCTGGTCGCAAACTCCTGGCATCAAGCAATCCTCCTGCCTTGGCCTCCCAGAGTGCTAGGATTACAGGTGTGAGCCACCATGCCTGGCCAAGTATTTCTCTTTTTATGACTGGCTTTTTTCACTCAAAATGTCCTCACAGTTCATCCATGTTATAGCATGTGTCAGAATTTCCTTCTTTTTAAGACTTAATAATATTCCATTGCATGTATATGCTACATTTTGTTTTTCTATTCATCTGTTGATGGACATTTGGATTGTTTCTTGCTTTTGGCTATTGTGAATAATGCTGTTGTGAACTGTGAAGTACTTTTTGCTTTTTTTATGAAGCTTTGCTATATCATGTGTGAGATAGTGAGGAAAACATTACATTAGTTAGAAGACTTTAGTTGATCACCTCTTCTTTTCTGGCTAGCTAAATGTAGCTAGCTAAATGTAATAATAATCCTAGGTAAGTTACATGACCGCATCAGTCTAGTTGGCCTTCCTATGTAAGAGAGAGACACATTGACAAAGTTTTAGTGAAAACAGGTGAAATAATGTATATTAAAGCTCTTTTGAAATTCTTAAAGTGTAACAAATATAAGGAGGCCAGTGACAGCTTATTTAATCCATTTACCTTACATTCAGGGGCACTTAAGTTATTTGCTTTTAGAACTTCTGAATTTATTCTTTTGGTGACTTATACCTGAAAAAAACCTACCCTGTAATATTAGATATTAGTATCATTAATTCCTCAACTGTACAATTTCCACATTTTTTATTTTAAAAACAAATAGTAACTTTAATGCTGAAAAAAGAATGATACAAGAGATGCTTGGATTTTATTGTTTGGTAAATGAATTCCTGATTGTAGTTTTTAAATTATATAGACTAGTGAGAGTATCTACAAAATAGGCCTTGTTTTGAAAGGAACTTGTTAAAAATAAAGAAAATGCACTTTTTTTAAAAAAATTTTTGAGACAGAGCCTCGTTCTGTTGCCCAGACTGGAGTGCAATGACCAATCATAGCTCATTGTAGCTCAAACTACAGGGCCCAAGGGATCCCTCTTTCTGCCCTGGCCTCCCGAGTAGCTGGGACTACAGGTATGTGCCACCGTGCCCAGCTAATTTTTTCTCATTTTTTGTAGAGATGGGGTCTCGCTGTGTTGTCCTGGCTAGTTTTGAACTCCTGGCCTCAAGTGATCGTTGGCCTCCCAAAGTGCTGGGATTACAGGTGTGAGCTACTGCACCCTGCCAAGAAAATACACATTTTGAGTAACAATCTGTGATTGCAACTGTTTTGGCCAGTTTCTGAAGAATGGAAGAATGTGGTCACTGAAGGAATGAAGTGCCTGGTATTAACCTTGAGAGGGATTTATTGGTAGAGCTGAGAGAAGTTGCCAGTTTCTTTCAGGTGCTATATTTCTAGGCTCTACTCATTGCATTTTCCCAGTTACAGATATAGCTGTTAATGGTGGTTTGATGTGTGGCAACAAATGGCATTATTTATCTTCTTAAAAGGTGCTTTTTTTTTTTTAAGTCATCTCTTATTTTATGATTCAGAGGAACTTAGGAATGTTTGTCTTCTAGGCTCATCAACAGAGCAGACGGGCAGACCGTTTATTAGCTGCAGGCAAATACGAAGAGGCTATTTCTTGTCACAAAAAGGCTGCAGGTGAGTATTCTTTTTAAGAAATACTAAGTAATGCTGAAGGGCAGTTTTTTTCCCCAGTATCTCTTAATACTTTATTTAAATGAAAATCACAATAGTAGTGGTGTGTGTTGCCCTGCATGTGTAGGGTTGACACCGCTGACCCACCAGAACATCAGCTTCGATTATTTTTCAAGTGAGTGTAAGATTTCCTAGCTCCTCCTAACCCATTTATGCATGAAGATGGCATAAAAACCATACTGATAAATGATTCCTGGCACAGCTCTCTGAGCCCAAAGATTCCTAAAGACAAAAGCTGACTGCTAGAAGTCTGCCAGTTTATCTTATTATAAAAAAGGAGTCTGAGTTTCAAATAGCTGGCCATTTCAGGTTCTGAAAGTAATAATAATTCAATTCCGACCAATTCATTTTCACTGAGTTTCCATTTTCTAAGATGCTGAAAATACAAAACCCACCAAAGAACTTTGCCACCTAAAATGATGGAAGATTTGTCCTGTGGTCTTTCTTTAGTTTCCTTTCTGGGTATTTCATCTCTCTATGCCTGCCTATAGTAACATGCTGGTGATAGTTTTCATTTAGGTATAAAGTTTAGAATTGTTGGCTTCTTATCAAAGACCTAATTTTATTAGATCCTGGGGGTCTGTTTTGCTTAGATCAGTTTCTGTTGGCTGAGCAACAGTCCAAAAGCCTTTGGGAAAGGGGGTGTTTTAATCATGCTGTCTCCAAAATGGGTGTGAGTCACCTTTCTTAGAGCAAGCCCTGAAGTCTTTTTCCCTCTCAGTTGGTATGATCAAAGCCAAATTCTTTCCTGGCAGAGTCTGTCCCTCCCATGTTATTTTACTGCTGAAATACAGACTGCATGGTGGGCATTGGTTTGGATAAGTCCTCTTACTTCAGTGATTTTTGCCTATAAGTCACTAATTTTCACAGAAAATTTCAAGTCTTTTTTTTTTTT